TGAGCCGGTGAGATTTGAACAGCCGAACTGCAGAACTGCAGTCAGCTGAAGTAGCCTGCAGTGCTGCATTTAACCACTGCGCCATCTCGGCTATTTAACATCATCTTAAAGGTATACTACATAATTCTGATTAAGTCAGAGACTTAGTTTTAGAGTATTAATGTCTTAGAACTAATAGATTCAAGTAACAGAGCGAGCAAAATCATTCTTGTGCTATTCGTTGTCTTATTTCCATTCATAAACACTCAATAGAAAGATCACTTACAAATGTGTATTAAGACCAACTACATTCTTTTAATTTTATTTAAGCTGCTGAGAGGCTTAGATACTGATTATATGAAAGGACTAGATTGTTGAAAGATTGATTTACAAATCATTTTCAAGATGCAGCTCACAGTGGTTTATCTGCTTTTTGTTTTCTCACAGGTTGTCAAACAGGCTACAATTAAAATCAAATTTGACCTCTTCTTCAGTCACTCCTCTTCAATATTCATACTAATGTAAAGCTTTAGGAATTGAAGAAATAAAATAGCACCATTGGCAGCTATATAGTATATTTTTACTGCAATATATAGTTTAAAAGGAATTGATTTTTGAATTGGTTTATCTGTGTTTACTATTATCTATCTCAGTTATTGCAGGTTTGCAATTTTAGAATATTTCAGCTTTGGCCTTGCTAGATAGAAGCAGTAATTCATTTAAGATGAACAGCCAAAAGTATCCCAAGTTTTATTTATACAGACTGTATTCTCAACTTCATTCCTCATGGTTTCTCCCCTAGTCATACATGAAAGTGAATGAATCTAAGGGTATATTCTTTGCTAATGACCCCTAGGATTTGGCCAAAATTAGAGGTGGGAAATACTATATTTCTCTCAAATAAAGTAATTAGATGTACCAAAAAATTACTTTGACATCCATAAATGGGCATGGGGGATGGGGAGAGAATTTCTACTTTTGACAGGAAACCAGGGAAAATGAATATGCTTTTGTAGAATTAAAATGTATAGAATCATATAGATAAACTGCACAGCATAACATTTGCAAGTGCTATAGGGCACTAAGATTATTCTGCTTAAATTATGCTCAGGCCAATTTTTCAGAGGAGAAGAGTAATGATGTTGCAAAATGAAATAAGTTGCCCAGAACAAGGTTTCCTCTATATAAATATTTTTTGCAATCTTACTTGTGCTAAGACTAACTGTGGGCTTAATTGAGATTTTTACCAGGAAATTGTACTTCCAGTGTTTGTAGAATGCAAAAAAAGTGTGTTGTTATCAACTGTTCATCCCTGGTTTAAAGAATTCCATCAGATGAAAGCTTGTTTTGCAATGCAGTCTGTCTACAAATTAATAGCTCTTACCATTACAGAGAGTCTCTCAGTATTTTATGAAGATCTGTTTTTACACAATTTCCATTCTAGTTCCTCCTCCAAAGCAATAGCAAATACCTCTGTTGTGCCTTCTGAATGATAGTCTTTCTGATATTGGTCTACTGCTTTTATGTCTCCCCTTGAACTTTTTATTCCAGTTTTCTTTGCTGTTCATCTTTAGAATAGAATAGAATAGAATAGAATAGAATGGAATGGAATGGAACTGAGGTGGGGGCCCTTTAACTCCATATCATTTGAACCTTCCTGAAGCTGGGATTGGAGCTGCTGGATATAAGGGGTGAGTCAGAGAGACAAAGAGACTGAGGTGGGGGCCCTTTAACTCCATATCATTTGAACCTTCCTGAAGCTGGGATTGGAGCTGCTGGATATAAGGGGTGAGTCAGAGAGACAAAGAGACTGAGGTGGGGGCCCTTTAACTCCATATCTTTTGAAACTTCCTGAAGCTGGGATTGGAGCTGCTGGATATAAGGGGTGAGTCAGAGAGACAAAGAGACTGAGGTGGGGGCCCTTTAACTCCATATCTTTTGAAACTTCCTGAAGCTGGGTTGGTTTCAATGGGGAAAAGAGTAAGGTTCTACATTTAGGCAACAAAAACGAAATGCACAGCTACAGTATAAGTGGTACCTTGCTCAGTAGCAGTAACTGTGAAAGGGATCTTGGAGTCCTAGTGTACAACCATTTAAATATGAGCCAG